GGTGGAATCTAAGTGATCAGCAGGACGCGCGGTGAGCCCAGCGTCCTCCTACGCCGCCATCTTCCCTCTCCCCGTCCACATTTTTTAAATGGCTGTGCCTTGTAACCTTTTTTCCTCTCCTTGTTTTTGACCACAAGGGAAGTTGAATCAGCAAAGCTAAACGGATACTCTGTCATTCTAATTTCTTCTTCCTGAGTTCCTGTTAGATTATTACGTTTCTTACGGTTCTTCATACTTAATCCAAATTATCGTTATTGGTGTGTCTTTTTCACCCTTGATATCAGGGATTTTATCTCTTCATCATTAGATACTTATTAAGTGTAGCTTAACTCCATTAACCCAGAATGTATATCCATTTTGTTCCCTTGGTAAAGAGAATTTATTTGTGTATTGTAAGAAAGGAGCAGGGTTAAATGTGTTCGTCATAATACGATTTGTTTGTCTTGCTAGGTGCTGTAGAGAGAAAGGGCAGTTGGTATGTTTCTTTAAATTGACATGGGTTCACTGAAGAAACTGCATCCAACAAAAGATACTCAAATTTACTAGGCTTGGGAAATGTCAATGACGGAACAGTGAGATCTCACTTCACCTCTTTCCCCCAGACTGCTAAATATTAAAAAGAGCTAGAATATACACTGTTGGAGGGAATGTGGGAAAGGCTTCTTTTATACATTGCTGATGAGATGTGAGGTGTTACAGCCTTTTGTAAAGACAGTCTGCCCACATCTATTAAAATACACATACCCTTTGGCCAGTGAGCCCAATTCTAGAAATGTAGCTCATAGAAATAAAAGCATATATATGTATATATATATATAAAATAATCTTTTATGCATTATTTGTAGTACTCAAGAACTGGTAACAAAATAAATGCCCAGCAACAGGCAAGTGAATGCCCAAAGAAAAGGTGGCACATCTATACCAGGGATTAATACTCAGCCATTAAATAGAATGAATCCAGCCTATGCTAGATGACTTGGGGGGAGGGATTCCATGAGGCGTAGTGTGAGAAACGGAAGATGCAGAAAGTGGGGCATATGATTTTGTAAAATGAACTAAAAAAAAGACGTGTATTTGTTAGTTAAGATAGGTATATGTACATAAGGGCTGTGTTTTTCACAAATATATATGTTTTACACATTTTTACATACAAGGGCACACTGGTTTAATATGGACTATGGAAGGGTTTGGGGAAGCTGGAGAAGGGGATTCACGGAGGGAGATTATGGAGATTATCCATAATAAAAATAGCATCTATGAAATTCCTTTCATGTGATGATTGTGTGTTTGCATAAGCGGGAAATGATCAACACGTTGACGTGGATGGATTCCGGATAACTGGTATTTTTTTAATATTGTATCATTCATATTCTTTATAAAGAACACACGTTAATCATATCAGGAGGAAAACATTTAGCGGGGGAAGAAATGATGTGGAAGCACTCAAAAACAAACACTGTGTAGCCACTCGCAGACTTAAATATTTGACCTGTCCACGTGTAGGTAGCCCATTGAGTGTCAGGAAGAGAGGTTTCCATTGTATCTTATGTCACTTGAGCAGTTAGTTCTGTTGTCTGTTGATTTGATTAGAGTCTACTTAAGAGTAATGCTTTGTGGGTTTGATTTGGAAGCTTTTCTTTTGTAAATCTTTTAGGCAAAAATAATGTGTTCCTCAATATGCAAATGTGTTGGCTGTAAGAATTTTGAAGAAAGCCCAGAACGAAAGACACTGATGCACTTGGCAGACGCAGCTGAAGTAAGGGTACAGCAACAGACGGCAGCGAAAACTAAGTTATCTTCTCAAATTTCGGACTTGCTTACTAGGCCAACACCGGCTTTGAATAGTGGAGGAGGAAAGTAAGTCAGTATTTTAATGTCTTTTTATAGTATAACATCAGTATTATTTCTGGTCAAGTGTCTTCTTTTTGGACAAGGCTAAGTTCATGCTTTGCCTTGTTGCAAACCTCTTTTTGCATTTTCTATCTCTAGTTACTTGTAAAGGATTTTGGAGGTAATAGGAAAACCACTGCGAGATATAGTACACACTTCTAACACGCTTTGTGCTTAATTTGATTTCTCTCCACTAAGATGAGGTAGTGATGTAATTTGACAAATCCCTAAGAAAACTGAATTTTTACACCTGTTCCTGGTAGCAGTATCATTCACACTTTTGCACATCCTTACCTTCTGTTGCCTTTTCCGTGCCCATGTAGCACTTTTCCCCATCCTACTGGGGCACCTTGTTTCACTGGACTGCTAAACTCTGGAGTAGGAAAGCTCGAGCTTTAAAGTTCGGCCGAGCTGAGTTTAAATACTGTGTGTGCTACGCAGTAGTTTATGAATTCGACAAGCACTCCCCCTCTCTAGGTCTCGGTTCTCTTGTCCTTCCCATCATCCTTACCAAGTGGCCAGAAAGAATAAAGCATCGCTGTCCCAGTGTTTGGCAGGGTCCGATGCCGCACAGCTTGCTGGTGTGGATTTGTATCAGAGGGTTTAGTAGAGGTTAGGTTGCAGAATTATTAAATGCAATGAGCCTTCCAGATGGTATATTATGTAAAATGCCTAAGTTGAAATAGGCTCCAATGCTTACAGAAATGCTTCTTTTTGTACAAAATATTTCAGATAGCAATTCTGAAGAACTATTATACAGTGTTACTAACTATACAATATTAACGTTATTGTAATAGTATAATATTTTCTAACTTAAAGTGTTTTACATTTTAAAGATTTTTATACAACTGTACAGCAGCCCAAACCCTCAATTACTCTCTTGTCACAGTAGGTCTGAATTTCAGACTTCATTTGTTTTGCAGTTTCCTTCTGTCAGTGTCGTTGGTAACATTAGTGTCGTGGTTACGTTAGGTTGCCTGATTTGTCTCTGAAGGCTTTAAGACGTGGCTACATATAGCAAGCCTCAGGATGGATTGCTCTTATTTAATACTTAATAGTTGAGGTCTTTATGAATGAAACTCCATGTAGAGAACAGCATTTGGTTTCCCCACTGTTTTGTTTGTCATGATGGAAAAATGCAAAATTTTGGTGTGCTTTTTGCTTTGTGAACAATATATGGGACTCTGGGAAAGTACTTTATTTTTAGTGTTGTCCAGGAGATACTGCTTGCAGTGCTCAATTTTATTCATTCATTGAACAAACAAATATTCATGGAGTGTTTCTATGTGTCAGGCAGTGTTCTAGGCTGTGAAGAAACAGCAGTAAATAAAACAAAGACTGCACTCTGAAAACTAATTCACGAATTAGGAGAATTTGTTACAGAATTATCCAGTTGACATACAGAGTTAACATCTTTTAGTTAACCAGATAACCTTGTGTAGGTTATTTTCTTATATGCAATAATAAAACAGGTCTAACTTTTTAAAGCTCTTTGGGCTGTGCTTGTGTTCACTGCACAAATTGTTCAGTGTGTTGGTGAGTCATGAACATGTTAACAGATATTCACGTGAAGTAATGTCATCCACTTTTGTTGTTACTCAACACCATCATCGTCTCTCTTTCTCTCTCAAAAAATCATTTCAGATTGCCATTTACATTTGTAACTAAGGAAGTAGCGGAAGCCACATGTAATTGCCTTCTTGCCCAGGCAGAGCAGGCAGACAAGAAGGGAAAATCAAAGGCAGCAGCCGAACGGATGATACTGGAGGAATTCGGACGATGTTTGATGAGCGTCATCAATTCTGCAGGCAAAGCAAAAAGTGACCCTTGTGCCATGAATTGCTAACTCTTGCACAAAAGACTGATAAATGGAACTGTACAGAAAATTGAAGGTCCAGGGACACTTGATTTTCTGGAAGATAATTTAACAATGATTGTATTGTTAATTCAGTCCTTGTGTGACCTGAAGTTATAATATTGAAAGAAGAAATTTTAAATGAGGAAATTAGTACATTTTAAATCTTAGTTAAATCTGTTTATGCCCCTTCTAAATTGAGTTTTTCTCTATTGTATTATATAGATTTTTAATTTGCATGGGTTTCTTAAGAATTAGATGTTCTATCCATCTGATGCTGTTGACAAAGACATTTATAAATTAATATAATTTATAATGTATGGCGTTGTAGGACTTTGCTCCAGTAGAAAAAGCCAGAGAACCATTGGTATTACCCAGTCATTCTTTGGCACTAGACCTAAGCAGATAGAATGTCTACATGAACAAATTCTTATGAAACATACTCAAATGACATTTTTGTGTTTAGAAAAGCACTACCTTTTTAAGAAAAAACGTTTTAGCACAGATTTGGAATAATATCGTGTTGTCACTTTGGGAATGTCAGAAGGGGAAGGAATCCATAGGCATACTTTTAAAATTAAGAAGTTGTTTTTTAAGAAAAACTGTTAAGGGACAGGCAGTAGTTCTTGATAGGCAAGGTGTTTCTCTAAGAAAGAGTGACTAAGAAATGCTCTGGGATGTTTCCATTTTCTTTGAAGGAGGTGCTGTGTATTTGAAATGATATTAATAAATTGTCAAAGTGATTACTGGGTACTATTAAAAGTGAGAGGTGCATATGAATAGAACTTATTATGTAGTGATAATACAGAAACTTACATAATTATCAGGTATAAAATTTGCCTTGGAGAAATAAAGAACATTGAAGCTCTAATAAATGAATTGAGGGAAAGACTTTTCATCTATACAATTCTCTTTATAGACTTTTGAACTAAGAGGTCTCAATCCAGTGTAGGAGTCTTATTTGATTTACTGAAAGGGCCTCCTAACAAAGCTCTCAAAATTATAGTGGGACTTCTTTTTATAAGGGAAGCTTAAAATGGCATTATTTTTAGCCAGTGATTTGATAAGCTGAAGGTATGAGTGTTTTCTTATTATTACTAAAATAACCTAAATCATTTTCACAAATTCAAAATTCAAGAGCTTTATGAATTTAAGAGCCTGTACGAGGACTCTGGATTTTATGACAAGAAAAACCATGTTGGAATTCAGGCATTTTGTTAGGTACCTTAATCCTCAGTAATTATTAGTATATGATTATTACATTTCCTACAAGGAATCTATAGTTGTATGTATTAAGTGTGTATATATGTTCATATGAACATGCAAGATATAGGCAATAGAAATTAAGTAATCCAAAAGAAGATTCCGTTATTCATTGAAGTATCTTCCTTTTGAAATTTGGATTTATAAAATTATAGTGCAGTAACTTTAAATGTAGATAGTGCAAACATTCTTAGCACCTCAATCTAGTATGTTTAATTAAAATTTGTATAAATGTAAATTAGTGTAAGAGGATAAAATATCTAATCAAGTTATTTTTCAAAAGATTACAATACCTTTTTGGTCTAAACCTAAACTTTGTTCATTTTGTACATATTCTGTGTTTAATTCTAATTGCACCTTTGTGATGTGTATTTATATACAGTGTGCAGAAAATGTTTGTGAAATTTGGATTACAATTGTAGATTATGTATGACGGCATTGCTTGAGAATGTTTTGCTTGTAAAAACTTGAAGGTGCAATCAAATGCTACTAGTTTTTCTGATTTTCAAGAAGCTATCTAAAGTATTAAGACTTTCCTTCCTGCGTAGTACTTACTAAGCAACTTTTTGTATTTAGGTATTTGCATCAAATTGCTGAACAAGATTAATATCCACATTAATTCAACAATTTTAAAAGACTATTTGGGGAGGGTTGGGTATATAATTTTTTTAGCTCTATTTACATCCCAAAGTAGAAAGATTAAATTTATATTTACTAGAGCTATTCGAAGAATACACTTTTCTATATTGTAAAAACAGGACAGCAAAGTAAATCATACAGAAAATAAACATTTATACTATTCTGTAAAAAAAAAAAAAGTTTGTTTTTTTTCTTTAAGAACACCACTTTTAACCATTTAATGTACCAGAAAAGAAACTTAAAATATCTGATTTTAAGTAAATTTGACATTACTTCTGAAAGCACACAAATAATAAGTATAATTTTGCCCAATTATCATGAACCCAAAATTGCTTTGAAATGAAAATAGGCCTTTTTTCCACTGTGTAAGGGCAGAAACTCAGTCTACTCTTTCCTTTCTTTTTTGACGTTTTTCTTTCTTTTTTAATGTTTGATGTTTTTATGGTGAGCACCTTTCTCAGTTTCCTTTTCTTTCAAGAACAAAAAGCAACCTGTAGGTCTTATCTGGGAAACAAAACCTTAATGTTGCAGGTAATAAAACAAGCAGAGCAGCGACTTTAGGGAGAGACTACTGCTTTAGCTTCCCAGTTCTTGGATTCAGACAACTAACATTTTCTAAATCTTATGTCAAATGTGAATAAAAAAAATCTTTAGAAAAGTTTTCCACTTTTATTGTTCTGTAACAAACAGCTAAGAGAATACTTGTTAGGTAAACGCAGCTTCAAACTAGGATCTCTACCATCATGTTGCATCCTTTTTCAGCATTTTCTGTAGAAATTCCGTAGCAGCAACCCAAAGGAGAAGGAAGCCAATCAGCTATAGAAAGCCTTTACTATTGGAGTTATTTTCTACTGTGTCAATTACTTAGGGGTGTGTGTGTCTGTGTGTTTCCTTAATGCAGATTTTGTCATTATCTATAGACCGAATGTGAGGTTTTTATGATCCAAATGACTTTATAAAATGAAAGGTATAAGGGCTTTTTTTTTTAATTATAATTTTTAAATAGTTTTATGAAAGCATTTAAGGCATTTTTTTTTCTCAAAAGCATTAAGAAAATATATTCAGGGTAATATTTACTATAAGGCCAGAGACATTTAACTCCCTGATTATATTATCAAATGAAGTCTAGCAATAGATAAAAAGAATGCATCATGACCAGGTTGGGTTTATCTCCGGAATAAAAAGTTGACAACATTCAAAAATAATGTAACTCACTGCATGGATATAAAAAAGAAGTAAAACTGTATGATCGTAAAAGTTGCAGAGAACCTTTTGAATATACTAAAAACTACTGAACTTTAAAAGGGTTAATATTACAATATGTATATTATAGCTCAAATATTTTTCCAAAAAAGTTAAAAGGTACAGAAAAATTATGACAAAATTCAAGACCCACTTATGACTGAAATGTGCGCGCGCGCGCACACACACACACACACACACACACAAACTCTTCAGCACACCAGGAAGAGAAAGGATTCTCAACCTGAAAAGACCATTTACTAAAAAGCCTACAGCTAATATCATATGAATGGTGAAGACTGAATGTTTCCCCTGCTAGACTAGGAACAAGACACTCCTACAACATTGTATTGGAGGTTACTGTATAGTAAGCAGGGGAGCACAGATTGGAAATAAGACAGTATCTACTGGTCAATGTGACTGCCTATATACAAAAGTCAGTAATCTTTAAAGAAAAAAAGCTAGAAAAAGTGAGTTTAAGCAAAGTCAATATGTAAAATTGTATTTTTACATAGTAGCAACGAACATTTAGAAACAAATTTTTACAATTAGCATAGTAGCACCACAAAATGCGAAATGTAACAGATATACACAAGATCTGTAGGTGAAGTGTAGAAAACATTGATAAAATCAGAGAAGACCTTAAAAAAGGAGAGATCTACCATGTTTGTGAATTGGAACATTGGATACTATGAAGATACCACTTCTCTCCAAATTGATCTTTAGATTCCCCAAAGCTCCAGCCAAAATCCCAGCAGGAATCTTTGTAAAAAATCAACAAGCTGGGGCGCCTGGGTGGCGCAGTCGGTTAAGCGTCCGAGTTCAGCCAGGTCACGATCTCGCGGTCCGTGAGTTCGAGCCCCGCGTCAGGCTCTGGGCTGATGGCTCAGAGCCTGGAGCCTGTTTCCGATTCTGTGTCTCCCTCTCTCTCTGCCCCTCCCCTGTTCATGCTCTGTCTCTCTCTGTCCCAAAAATAAATAAACGTTGAAAAAAAAAAATTAAAAAAAAAAAAATCAACAAGCTGATTAAACAATATATAGAGAAAGGTACAATTAGAACAGCCAAACATTTCTGAATAACGAACAAAGGTGAAACTCCTACTTGACTTCAAGGCTCATATAAGGCTCATCAGGTCACTGTGGTACTGGTGAAATGTTAGACCAATGGATCAATGGAACAGAACAGAGCCCAGAAGTAGACCCATATATATGTGGTCAATTTCTTACAAAGGCTCAAAGGTAATTCAGGGAACAATAATCTTTTTAACAAACACTGCTGGGATATCCATATGTAAAATATGAATCTCAACTTCTACCAAAGACCAGAATGAACTGAAAATGGATCATAACCTAAAAATGAAAAACCTAAAGCGACCAAATACCTAGAAGATAACATGAGAAGAAAAATCTGTGGCTTTGGGTTAGGCAACTTTTTCTTAGATATGAAACTAAGAAGTATCCCTAAAAGATAAAAACTGATAAAATGCATTTTTCAAAATTAATGTCTGCCCTTCAAAACACAATAAGAAAAGCCACAGACTGGCAGAAAATATTTGCAAAACACATTAGATAATGCACTTCTATCCAGAATATATAATTAACACTCAATAAAAAAAAAAACCAACCTTCCAAAAGAGGGGCAAAAGACTTCAACAGACCTTTCACCTAAGATTATGTGGATGGCAAATAATCCTATGAAAAGATGCTCAGCATCATTAGCCATTAGGAAAATGGAAATGAAAGCCACAGTGAATTATTACTGCACACCTATTAGAATGGCTAATTCAAAACTAAACCCTGGCCATACCAAGTACTGGGAAGAAAGGAGAGGAACTGGAAGTTTCATACATTTCCTGATTGGAATGCAGAGTGGTGAAGTTATTTCACAAAAAGAGTTGTGGCAGTTTGTCATAAAGCATAATATATACTTACTATGTTACCCATTGTATGGATACAACACATTTTTACTTATCCATCAGTTGGACATTTCGGTTTTTTCACTTTGTAGCTATAATAATATGAAATTTGTGTACAAATTTTTACATGAGCATGTTTTTATTTCTCTTGGATATATTATATATACGCCTGTCAGTAGAACTGCTAGGTGATATGGTAACTCTGTTCAACCTTTTGAAGAGCTGCCAAGCTGTTTTCCAAAGCATCTGTATTCCCACCAACAGTGTAAGAGGGTTTCAATTTCTCCACATTCTTGTCAACACTTGCTATTAACTTTCTTACTATAACCATCCTAGTGGGTGTAAAGTGATACCTCAGTGTAGTTTTGATTTGCATTTCCCAGATGGTTTATGATGTTGGGCACATATTCATGTTTTTATAGGCCATTTGTATTATCTCCTCTGAAGAGTGTCTATTTACATTCTTTACCCATTTTTCAAACTGGGTTATTTGTCCTTCATTATTGAGTTATAGGAGTTCTTTGTATATCCTAGATACAAGTCCTTTATCAGATGTGTGAGTAGTAAAAATTTTCTCCCATTCTGTGGGTTGTCTCTTGACAGTGTCCTCCGAAGTAAAAGTTTTTTTGGTGAAGTCCAATTTTTTTTGTTGTTGTTCATGTTTTTGGTGTCATATTTAAGAAACTATTGCCTAATCTAAGTCTCAAAGATTTGCTCTCTTTTCTTCTAAGAGTTTTATATTTTTACCTATTACATTTAGGTCTTTGACCCATTTAGAGTTAATACTTTTGCATGTGGATATCCAGTTGTTCCTGCTCTATGTGTTGAAACATAGGAAGGATAAATTTCTAAAAGAGAATGTTTTTCTCTGACGAAAAAAGGACAAAGGTGCTAAGTGGAAATTATAAAGTAAATTACTCTCATCAAATATGAATAATTTATTTTAAAAATTCACCATAAAGCATATCATGTTAAGTAAACTTGATATCAGACTTGAAATACTTTCACTAAGGGGCGCCTGGGTGGCTCAGTCGGTTAAGCGTCCGACTTCGACTAAGGTCACGATCTCGCGGTCCATGAGTTCCAGCCCCGCGTCGGGCTCTGGGCTGATGGCTCAGAGCCTGGAGCCTGTTTCCGATTCTGTGTCTCCCTCTCTCTGACCCTCCCCCATTCATGCTCTGTCTCTCTCTCTGTCTCAAAAATAAATAAAACGTTAAAAAAAATTAAAAAAAAATACTTTCACTAAGGCAAGAGCAATTAACTGTTAAAGGCAGTGAAGGAGGGGTGCCTGGGTGGTTCAGTCAGTTAAGGGTCGGACTTCAGCTCAGGTCACGATCTTACAGTTCATGGGTTCAGGCCCTGCGTCGGGCTCTGTGCTGACAGCTCAGAGCCTGGAGCCTACTTTGGATTCTGTGTCTCCCTCCCTCTCTCTGCCCCACCCTGCTCACAGTCTGTCTCTCAAAAATGAATAAAAACGTTAAAAAAATTTTAAAAAGGCAGTAAAGGAAATATTCCTGTTGTCAATATTTGTCCAATTTATCCAGCACTCAAATAGTGCAAAACACTAATTAAACTACAGAATATACTAGTACATTAGTAAAATGCAACAGCAAAGAACATGAGACACCTACAGATACAAACCTAGTTTTAAGTAAAGATCTGGACAAAACTTGGATTTATATAAGCAATAAGTTAAAGGTGGTGATTTACAAGTAGTATTCTTTTAAATAAGATTCATCCTGGTGTATCTAAAATTCTATTGCAAATACAACCCACACTATTGAGACTTCTCAGCGATAGCTCTTACATAAAATTTAGTACAACTCTGGTTACATCTCCAAACTTAAGCCTTTGTTTGAGGTAGAACAAAACAAATATATCAAAATATATAATTTAAGGAGAATTTCAGTTAATAAAACTCAAGTTTTGTCTAGTCATTAATCTTTTGCAATTTTAAGTTTTCATATTAATTATACTTCATGACTATTCACATACAAAGAGTAGATGTTTTACACACATAGGGGAATCATGCGCTTGTTTCTTCTTTTATCCATTTAAAACACTCCTCATATGTGAAAGTACAACATATACCTACGTTTTTCTACTCATCTTTTCAAAGTCTGGGTGTGACAGAATGGAGAAAATTGTCCTTAGGTATGTTTCCATCTTCAGATCATTTAAGCTTCTCCTAAATTTCTGAAAAAACTAATCATATAATTAAGACAAATATTTTCATAACCACTGTCTCAACTGCCCATCTTTTTCTATTTATTAATTGGATGGTGTGAAGTCCCTTTATTCATTCAACACTGAAAATATATTTCAGCCTCCCTGCAAAACACAAGGACACTTCAGAAGAGCTTGAAATAAGGCTTCTCCTCATTCTCTGATGAGCATTGGGCTCTTCCAGTGGAGTCAAGTAAGTATCCACTCTATTATTCAAAAGTAGTATTTTGAAGTCCAAGGACAATGGATTGTGAAAATGAGATCCCCTATTTACTTCTCAGAGTACATTCCCCAACTTCGCTGCAGCACACGGAACCATCTCATGGCACATGTGCTTACCTTCTGCCCGATAAAGCCTAAGTATTCCCATTTTAGGGTACCCTGGCAAAGGGATTTTGTGGTATTTGATATTTTAACTCAGCCTAATTTTCAAACCACATCTAGATTTTCACATGTAAGTAAAAATTACATCCAAGGTTTTATATTCCTTTTTTTTTTTTTTTTTCCTGTCAACATTCTTAAGAGCTGTAAACCAAAGCTCTTTTAGGGAATGTAGTCTATTTATAAAAGAAGTCAATGTTTTAATGACTCTTAGTTGTTGTTATTCTCTCTTGTTTTAAAGTAGACTGAACAAGTTAAAAAGTATGTCCAGTCACACTACTCAGTCTTATAGTAGTATATTCAAAGGCAGCATCTGTTGGCTGGTCTGTTCCTACTGACTTAACTGCGTTCTACATTCCGAGTAACTGAAATGTTGCAAACCATACCAAGTACAAGCAGATTTTATAATACGCATAATTAGAAATCCTAGTATTACAAACTTGTCAAATGTGCAGAATGGTCAATTTATAAAATATGGTAGGTTGAACTTCAAATGTTGACCAATAATTTTTCATGAAAATTTTAAGATATTTTAGGTCCCTCATTTGAATGGATATCCATCATTACTTAACAAATGCCTGCATTTATTGGTATTAGCAAAACTTGAACATCTGTAATCCTGTAATGATGACCAGTGTATTCTTGGCAAAGTTTTCATTTCAATTCTTTCTGAATGGTGTTTTAAAGGGTACTGAGCTGCATCTTTACCTCTGATCTTTAAGAAACAGATTATTATATCCTTTAGTAACTTTACAAAGTGATTGATGGCACACACTTCTCCGTCAAAGAGATGCTCATCTAAATCTACAAAAAGATAAATATGCCCAGAAAGCTCACATAATATTTTCTGCTGAAGATACAATTCTCTCTGTTTAGGAAGTAGTTCATAGACTGTCATTCTTGAATGGGTTCTTACAACTCGCTCACAAATATTTATGACTTGACAAAGACTTTGTGAAGGGAAATGTAAACCATTCTTCTTTTTAACACACAACAGTGACCCAATTTTAGCAACCTTGAGATCTGATGCATACAGTGCACTGATGCACTCCTCACAAGTTAAAAGAGCTGATAACTTATTTGCAACATAACTGGCACAACAGATGAGTTTTTGCCTGTGATCTGACAGATCTAGTAACGCCTCACTTAGCGAACAATTAGACCAGTCTCGGCAAATATCCTCTTTGTGAAAAAGAGTCTTTATGCCGCTGACGCCATACTGACGCTGAACGGTCCAAAGGGCCAAGTCTGTCCTTCGAGCAATTGAAATGTCAAGGATGCTTACTTCACTTAGAAAGGCTTCGTCTTGTGATCTGTATCTGGTCTCCAAATTATGGTAAGCTTTCTGGAATGCCATACAGGTAGGGTTAGAACCGGTTACTAATACCTGTCTAAGCATCTTGAGAAATAATTCCAGATGATCTTGACTGAATTTATAAGTCAGAAGATATGGAAAAGGCATGACCTTTGGGAAAATGTAATTCTGATAGAGCCATTTTAGGCTCTCAGCATTAAGCAAAAATCCCAGGAATCCTAGTTTTCGCTTACCTTTAATTATTTGATTACTGCTAGCGTCAGATAATGTAACAAAGATTGTCTTGGCTTCAATTAACACGTGATTAATTTTACTATAAGTTTCAGGCAGTAGAGGTCCTTTAAGTCCCTTTCCATAACAATTCCTACTATTAAAAATGTCAAACAGGTTGTTAATTAAGCGTAAAAAATGGACGGTACCAATACAGTTTTGAAAAGGAGGCAGGCCTAACGATAGCAAGCACTCCAACGCGCTGGCCACATTCTCACTGAACAGTTGGGCAGCACAGTTCGTCTTCAGCACGTGGTTTTTCAAATTTGCAAGTTTTCTTGGGAGTCTTTCTATGTTTGCTAATTCCTGGTCCCCCAGGGCTACTAAGTCCACAAGGTGCTGCCAATGTGCCGTGCCATTAATAAACTGAATGCTTTGAAAATTCTGAAATGCATTTCTTATTAATCTGAGCAAGTGGCAAGAATCAAAGAAGTATGCAATCTGTTGACTAGAAGATGAGGGATGCTGAAATGTACACTTCATGTTGTCTCCGTCAATATGTATTCCCAACGCTTTTGCCATCTGAACGCTGTGAGCTGTAGCATCAGAGGTGACGGCCAAAACCGTGATCCCTATGTCACTTAGTTTGCCAATGGTAAGACGAAGCAGCTGAGCCTGCAAATATCCAGATGCCCTGTTAACAAAAAAATAACCAAGAGGCGTTCTCCAGTGACCAGAAATACCCACGGCCATTAACAAAATAGTTTCGGACGCAAGGGGCGTTTCATCAGCATCAAGTATGCCGAGGCCAAAGTCCATAAACCCTTGCAAATGGTGACTGCTGGGGTCCCACTGAAGTTGTTGCTTGAGAGATATGCCTTTTATTATCAGTGAACAATACTGGTAGAGCTGGTCTCCGTTCTCTACTCTTCGCTGAAGAAAAGAAAAAATGTTGCTGTTGAAGCCTGGACTGGGTTTGCATTTGGATAACCATCTGGGAAATATAAAAATATATATATATATATAAAAAACTAAATGAAGAAATTAAAAAAAAAAAGGAAAAAATACCTTAACTGCTGCTAAGTTGCTTCAGATCCCTATAGAAACACAGCCAAATATAAGTAGCCAAATTCTATGGACATTTTCAAGCATCTATTCAAATAGTTACCATAAAATACTAAGATAACAGAGAAGCTTAGACACAAAGTAAGTATTTCAATACACCATTGCTCATCTACTTCTTTAAGATATATACAAAACAATTACCCGGTTTGTTGTAACTGTCGTGTTTAGATCATAAACCAGTCTTACCTGTAAATTCAATGAAATGAGAAAACGGTTGAAGGGGAAGGAAACTTTGAGAACATCTAGCACATCTACCTCATTTTAGAGATTGGGAAACGGGGACAGAGGCAGAACTGAAGCCACACAGCCCTTGCTGTGCTGCTAGCTGCATACAAGTGTGAAGCCCAACTTTCCTGGTGTCCTGACAGTGCTTTTCTCACCGCTCCTTGCGACCTCAAATTGTGCCCTCAAGGAACAATGAAGGTGTCTGCATCTGTCTGCCCTGCACAAAGTACATACACTACTACCTTAGGAGTTCCTTTGCAGTGTCCCTGACCTTTCCATCCTGGTTATGCTTTCCAATTACTGTTAGTGGCTGTCTTCAGAATCCTTTTCACTCAGTTCTAATTTACCTCTAATTTGCTGTAGGGTCAGGAGAGACAATAGCCAAGTTTAAGAACTATCTGAAATAAGACAAATTGGATTCTCTAGTAGAGACTGACGTGTTCATCTTAGCTAAAGTACTTCTGTAACTCAAATGACTTTTTGGGATTTCTGACTTGGGGGCTATATTCTGGACTGCCAAGGTTTCTTCCTGGACAGCAGGCCTCTAATTGAGATTTTAATGTACCTCGCCCTAAGTATTTCAGGACAGGGCTTTCCACATACTTTGCCGCAAACTAAAAGTTCCATAAATGAAATTTACCCTCATTACGTGCCATGCACACATATATGTAACATATGTGTGTGTATAATGCCAATTATGACCCACTGAATTGATTTCAAGATGCACTAATGGGTTTGAAAAACACACAGCATGCAAAAGACATCGATTTTAAGCTGCTTATAACCTATTTAAGAGACAAATGTATTAATCAGTTGTTTATATTTTAAAATAGGATGAAACAGTAAGATAATGAGAAAATAGGACAGTGGTTACCCACCAGGGTGCTACAGCCCAGTAGTATATGGAATGTCCTTTGCAAACAGGTCTCCAAATTTTAATTGTTTAAATTTTTTTCTTGCATTAGGACTGACTCTAAAATGAACACCAAAGATGCTGTGCTGCACATGGAGTCAGTATATTATGAAACTACTTAATGCCTCTATGTAAAAGTTTTTATTTAAAAAAGAATTTTTTTTAATGTTTTTATTTATTTTTGAGACAGAGAGAGACAGAGCATGAGCGGGGAAGGGGCAGAGAGAGAGGGAGACACAGAATCTGAAGCAGGCTCCAGGCTCCGAGCTGTCAGCACAGAGCCTGACGCGGGGCTGGAACCCACAGACTGTGAGATCGTGACTTGAGCTGAAGTCGGACGCTTAACCAACTGAGCCACCCAGGCGCCCTGTAAAAGTTTTTATTTTATTTTATTTTATTTATTTATTTTTTATTTATTTATTTTTTAACATTTATTTATTTTTGAGACAGAGAGAGACAGAGCATGAACGGGGGAGGGTCAGAGAGAGAGGGAGACACAGAATCCGAAACAGGCTCCAGGCTCTGAGCTGTCAGCACAGAGCCCGACGCGGGGCTCGAACTCACGGACCGCGAGATCGTGACCTGAGCTGAAGTCGGACGCTTAACCGACTGAGCCACCCAGGCGCCCCTTAAATAGGCTTTTTAAAAAAGCTTGTTCTTTGAGCTTGATTTTTAAATAGATACCTAAATGGTATTTTTTTAATGTCTTGTTTATTTATTTTGAGAGAGAGAGAGAGGGAAAGAGGGAGGGAGGGAGAGAATCCCAAGCAGCCTCTGCACCAGCAGCACGGAGCCGAAAGTGGGACTCAAACTCACAACTGTGAGATCATGACCTGAATCAAAATCAAGAGTTGATGTTTAACCAACTGAGCCAACCAGGCGCCCCAAGAGGATATTTTAAATTGAACAATAGCTTAGTTACAGAGTGATTATAAGTAGTCAGTTGGGTGGCTTAAAACTCTGCCTGAAAAAATACAAGGCTGAAGAGCCATCGTGCAGAGGAGTGTTTTTCTTTAAGACTATTAGGTCCACTGGCACTGTTTTTTCTTTTCCAAAATAACATTAAAAAACAACAATAAAAAAAGACTCTTAGCTCCTCCCATGGTCTTGTTTACCTTTGAATCTCTCACATCATCTTACCTATAGAGGGAGCTAATTTATTAATTGCAATGAAAACCTAAATAGAAAATTAGAGACAGAGAAAATCTACTAAGATCATACCATATATATCACTGTTATGATCAGGAAGGCTGAGGATGTTATGACATTCTTACAAAAGATATGTAAAAACAAACTATCTTAAAGACCCAAAGAACTGGAATTATAAGAAGTACAGCTCTGGGAAGGTTCTAGACATAGAGAATTCAAGAGAGAACTGATAAAGATCCAACATCAACACAAAGAAAATTACAGAGGTGACTGATAGTGGCTAATAATTAGAAAAAGATATGACAAGTTGAAATTAGTGAAGCAGGTACCTGTCTCACTGAACAAGGGTTTTCAAAAATATGAGTTTAGCTTGGTCTGTCATCATCTAATTGTTTACCATATAACTGTTTCTCCATCATCACAGGAGGAAAAACAACTATTCAAATTGTCTCTTTTCTCCTCAAGCTTTTTTTTAAAGTTTTAAAATTTATTTTTGAGAGAGACAGCGTGAGCAGGAGAGGGACAGAGAGAGGGAGAGAGGGAGAATCCAGCACAGAGCCTGATGGCAGGGCTTGAACTCATGAAACCATGAGATCATGACCTGAGCTGAAACCAAGAGTCGGATGCTTAACCAACTGAGCCACCCAGGCACCCCTCTCCCCAAACTTATCTCTGCTTCCCCAATTCTCTGCTATTATCTTTATGTCACTGAGAAAAACAGAAGCAATCCAATAAAAACTCATTTTCCTACCACTAAATCTGCTAACGTATTGAATCTGTGTCTCTGCCTCTTCCTGTTTAAATGAATGAATTGTCCCTACTCCTAATTAAGGCTAAACCTCTCTCCACAATGGTGTTAGATATTATCCCCCACAGTTATCCCTTCTCTTATGCACCACCAGTTCTCCTCTCTACCAGACCATTCCCTTAAGCATGCAAACATGCTGGAACAAGTGCCCTCTCAACAGGTGCCCTCCCTTTCATCTATGCTCCTTTCTACCCACAGACCCATTTCTCTGCTCCCTTCATAGCAAAACTCCTTGAAGGAGTGCTTAATCATTGTTTCTGCTTCTTAGGCTTCCAGTCTTCCTTGATCCCACTTTGGCCAGGCCTACCTCTCTACCACTCCACTGCAACTGCTTTTGTCAATGTCATCAATGACCTCCATCTTGCAAAATCCAATGGTCAATTTTGTCCTCCTCTTACTTGATCTCCCAGCAGCAGGGACAGAGTGGACTATCTCCTTGAGATACTTTCTACACTTGGCTTCCAGGCCATCACATCTCCTGGTTTTCCTCCTGCCTCACTGGCCGCTCCTGACCAATAAATAAATTTACCAAGTAAATATTAACTATAATGATTATAAATGTAATACATAAGCAGAGGTGTGTTAAAAAGATATATCTTTTTTGGGGCGCCTGGGTGGCGCAGTCGGTTAAGCGTCCGACTTCAGCCAGGTCACGATCTCACGGTCTGTGAGTTCGAGCCCCGCGTCAGGCTCTGGGCTGATGGCTCAGAGCCTGGAGCCTGTTTCCGATTCTGTGTCTCCCTCTCTCTATGCCCCTCCCCCATTCATGCTCTGTCTCTCTCTGTCCCAAAAAATAAATAAACGTTGAAAAAAATAAATAAATAAATAAAATAAAAAGATATATCTTTTTTAATAAAAAAATAAATAGAAATGTAATCAAATGTGAATATGTTTGACTATTCAGAACTGTCAAGATAAAATCTAGATACTTCCAATATATGAGAGTAATAGATAGACATTAACACAAAATTTTGTGGATATATATTTTTTTAATGTCTGAGAGAATATATACCAAACCACTAATAGCAGTTATCTTGGGAATTAGGGGAATGGTCTGGAAAAGGTCTATAAACCTTTTTCATTTTCCAGTATTTACATACTTACATATTGTCTGAATGTTTTATAACAAGCATGTATTACTATCATATTAAACAAGGTATTTTAGTTTCAAAGTACCCAAAGAAATAAACAATTTTTTGAGTACTAAAATTATACTGAATAGATGGCGTCATAGCAAAAATACAAAATGGACATAAAGAGAGAAAAGATCAGTGTGAGCTGGAATTGCCAGAGACTATTTAATCCAGAAGTTAATGGAGAACTACAGGAAATGAAGAAATGTCTCACACAAACCACAGGGCAAAATCCATAAGCAGTGCTTTAAAACCAGTAAAGAGAAAATTTGACTAACAAAAGGTAGAGAGGGGGATATATCAACACAGTATCTATAAAAACATCTCCTGCCTAGCAAAAAGTAGACATTTATAAATAAGAATAATATCTGGCCTAAATAGTAAAATCAGATGATAGAAGAGAGTGAATAAGCCTATACACAACTATCCAAATGTTTCTGGTCACTACAATCAAAAACGGAAACAATATAAATGTCCAATAGGGGGCGCCTGGGTGGTGCAGTCGGTTAAGCGTCCGACTTCAACCAGGTCAGGATCTCGCGGTCTGTGAGTTCGAGCCCCGCGTCAGGCCCTGGGCTGATGGCTCAGAGCCTGGAGCCTGTTTCCGATTCTGTGTCTCCCTCTCTCTCTGCCCCTCCCCCATTCATGCTCTGTCTCTCTCTGTCCCAAAAATAAATAAACGTTGAAAAAAAAAATTAAAAAAAAAATAAATGTCCAATAGTTGGAGAATGCCCCGGATAAATGGGGTATAATTACCTGATATTATGCAGCTATTAAAGATCATTAACTATGTAAAAAAAAAAGCTAGCAAATCTAAGCACAGAAACAAGACTGGAAGCAAATTCCCTAAATGTTAATAATTGTTGACATATAATGTAGATAAACAATTAATGAATTTTCCATTCTTTTCTCTCACTTCCAAATTTTTTATTAGTATTACTTTAATAGTATGTGGAGGAAAGTTAATCATTTTTAAAAAGAAGATGTAATATACAGCATTGTGACTATGGTTAATAATACTGTATCATGCATTTTAAAGTTGCTAAGAGGGGGACCTGGGTGGCTCAGTCGGTTAAGCATCTGACTTCTGCTCAAGTCATGATTTCGCCATTCCCAGAGATCAAGCCCCACATCAGGCTCTGTGCTGCCAGCTCAGAGCCTGGAGCCTATTTCAGATTCTGTGTCTCCCTCTCTCTCTCTCTCTCTGTCCCTCCCCTGCTTGTGGTGTCCCTCTCTCTCTGTCTCTGTCTCTGTCTCTGTCTCTCTCTCTCTCAAAAATAAACATTAAAAAAAATTTTTTAAATAAAAAAAGAAAGTTGCTAAGAGAGTAGATCTTGAAAGTTCTCATTGTAAGAAAAAAGTAATTTTAACTGTGGAATGGATATTAACTAGACAGTGTGGTGATCTTTTTGTAATATATACAAATACTGGATACCTGTTATACACCCAAATCAAATAAAGTGTTATACATTAATTATATCTCCATTAGAAAATAAAACAGATGTTTTCCCCAAAATGGAAAACAACAATATCATAATTGAAGGGGTTCAGGACAGGATCCCCAGAATGTGCTGCTCTGGCATGTGGATTATTTGTTATTTGAGAGAGCGAGCCCACAAGCAGGGGGGCAGAGAGAGGGAGGGAGAGAATCCCAAGCAGGCTCTGTGTTGTCAGCATGGAGCCTAAGCCAAAGTGGGGCTTGATCCCACAAAGTGAACCCTGAGATCATGACCAGAGCTGAAATCAAGAGTCAGATGTTTAACCGACTGAGCCTCCCAGATACCCTGGCATGTGGATTATTTTGAGTTGAAGTCATTTGAGACCCTGCAGACTCAAGAGAAACTTTTATCCCCTCCTAACCACACAGAATAATCTAAACTGGGGAGGCTTTCCCAGAATAAGAGTTATTAACAGAGATAGATTTTATCTAAGTGAACAAAATGTATGGTAGAGCAAACATCTAATTACCAAACATCTGCTTCACTTATTGCCCTGTGAAGTGCATGCCTTTCCTCTGAAATCCCAGACCCCTATCCCCATATCTCCTTAGTTCAGAATGACATATATACCTCTTTTGTCTGTCTTTGGAATTTCCATGTCTATGTGGATTCCCTGTATGTACAGCTATTAAATTTAATTTTCTCCTGTTAATCAGTTTCATGTCAGTTTGATTTAGTCCAGCCAGAAGGACCTTTGGGGGGCCAGGAATTCTTGTTCCCTTATATAATTAAGGTCCTACTGCCTGCCAGCCCTCAATTTCCCCCTTCTTTAAATGGGTGGGGTCAGCGGATGGTGGGCTATGTGCTTTCTTAGAGTTTCTCCAGTTCAGAACCCCTGAATCTGTTTTAAAGTTGAAGTAATAAGAAACCAAGAAGTACCTTCCAGGAGAGAGAGATGATGCTACTCCTGGCTGGCCTCTGTCCCACCTGCACTGAATTAAAGGGAGTACTGCTCTTCAGAAAGTGACTTAAGGTCCACTGCATTTCCTGCTTCCATCTACTCAAAATGCTAAATGACCATTCAGGCATTCTTTCTTTCTACAAATATTTATCAAGGGACCATTTAATGCTTCAGGTACAATGCAGAGTTGGGGGTTCAGTGGTAGTGTAACAAAAAACCCGATGCACCTCATACTTGGGCAGCTCATGGTCCAGTGGGGAAGACAGTGTTTTAAGAACTATGATTCAGGTCTGGGGTGCCTCGGTGGCTCAGTCGGTTAAGCATCCGACTTCGGCTCACATCATTATCTCATGGTTCGTGGGTTTGAGCCTTGCATCAGATTCTCTGCTGTTAGCACAGAGCCCACTTCAGATTCTCTGTACCTCTCATGGCTTCTCAGCCTTTCGGCTAAGATCAAGTGCAGATCTTCTGTACCCCCCTCTCTCTCTCCCCCCTCCCTCAAAAAAAAAAAAATAAACAAACATTAAAAGAAAAAAAGAACTACGATTCAGTTCTTATGTGTGTGAGAGGAGCACTTACAGCAAGCCAGGCTTCTGAAAGGAGGTCTAATTTGAGCCTGAAGACTGAGGAGTAATCACTAGGACCAATGAAGAGAGAGAATGGGCATTTCAGGCACAGGGAATAGTAAGTCCTGGTGGCAAAAAGAGGCCATTAAGGAGTGCCTTACAATTGGAGCATGGAATGCTAAAGGGCAGGGAGGGAGGCCAGAGATGAGCCTCCGAGCTTAGCAGGGGCCGCACCACGGGAAGCTCAATAAACCACAGGAAGGAGTCAAGCCTCTGGTCTGTAGGTAATGGGGAGGCTTATGCATCAGGAAAGTGACTGTTATGGGCTGAATTGTGTCCCTCAAAAAAGATATATTGGAATCCTAATTCGCAGTACCTCAAAGTGTCCTTATTTGGAGATACAGTCTTTACAGAGGTAATCAAATTAAAACGAGGTCATTAGGGTGAATCCCAATCCTAAGACTGGTCCTCATAACAAGAGGAAATTTGGGCACAGAAGCACACATACATAAGGGAAGATGATGTAAGGATACACAAGGAGAAAGACCACCAAGTACAAGTTAAGGAGAGAGGCCTGGAACAGACCCCTTGCTCACAGCCCTCCAAAGGAACTAAACCTGCCAATACCTTGATTTTGGACTTCTAGCCTCCAGAAGTGTGAGACAATATATTTCTGTCATTTTTAAGCTCAATAAATAAATAAATAAATAAAAATAAAAAGGCATCTGTAAAACCAGTGATAAAAACCGGTAAAAATTGAGCATTACTATTATAAGACATCACTGTAAAGTCACTGAGTTATTTGCTTCATACTAAGTGAATTATAAATATATCCGTGTATTTTGACCACAAATCCTACAAAATTATTTACCAAAATTTCCTCCCTGAACAACCCACACTGGGCATCAACTACAGTGCTTAACAAAAATGCAGATTTTTATGCTTAGCCTCAAACCAATGGTGTCAATCTAGAACTATTGTAGATTTTTCTAGGATAGTCGGATATTAAAACTACTGAAGTATATTAGAAATCCCAATATTTTCAGATTCAAATTTTATCACCGAGAGTATCTCTGTCTGGAAGATGCAAAAAATTTGTCAGATTATAGACCTTCATTTTGTTGGTGAAAATCTGCTGTTGTGATAATATGCAAATACCACTAGAAGTTTTTAAAAAGAGCAAATGGACTAATAAATGAGAGTCTGAATACGAATAGCTTCAACACATAAAATGCAATTAAATAATAAAATACTTGTTTATTTAACATCTAAAAAGTAATTCACTTACGTCCTGAGGATGGAAGAATGAGGCAGCTTGAGAATCTTTCTTACATAATCATAGACTTTGCTACTGCACAAGTAGAGTGTACATGCAAACTGTTTCATTTCTGTGGAGTACTCAGCTGTTTCTCTCCAGTTATACAATTCCCACTTAAAATCTGTTAAAATAAATTTATTTATTCTTTGTGGTGAAGAAGGTGTACAGTAACATTCTAAGGTACAGATCATAGCATTTGGATATAAAAAGCAGTGGCCATCAAAATACAAATACCATCACAGTTTAACTGAGTTTGTTTCAAAGGCTAATATCCAATCTTAGGACCTCTTGACCAATTTATCCTGCTCATCCTGGATCGTTTCACTCAAAAGACGGAAGAAGAAAGTTTCAACTTGAATCACTATGTTTTATTATTCATTGGCAGCCTAAGTGGAGAATTTTAGAGAAACAGGGAAGAAGATAAAATAACTGGATAAAATTAAGTCTCTGGATTACGAGCACATTTATTTATTTTGCTTCCTGGTTACTATTTATCTGAGGGTACAAATGAGACACAAGAAATAATTCCGGCAATAGGATGCTATTCAAATTGAACAGATGACCTTGCCTACTTTGAGGGGAAAAAAAATCCTCTGTTCCTGGTGGGGATCCCTGTTTATTACACCTCTGTTCCCCTCCTGGAAAAACACAAAATATTCTCCTCCTTTGGAGATACCTGCTCTTTTCTAGAAACAAGACATACTTATTTTTTACCAGGATGTAAATCCAAAATCTCTGCTGGCTTTCATCAAAGAGTAAGCTGGCTATACTTATTCTGTCCCTCTTCAAATATGCTGGTTCACAAAGAAAAGAGTAGGTAGTCTTTCCAATGGACATGTATATCTTCCATAGGATATTTTAGAAAATAATATATGGAGACTCAAAGAATTTTCAAGCTCAAAGGGAACTGGAAAATTACCTGGTTCGACTCCACTGCAAAAACGCTTCGGTGATAAATTATGTAAGCACTTAAATTGTTTAAAAATAATTTGCAGTAAAGCAAGTAAGTGCTTTATAAAAAATGAGAATTACAGTATATGGTATAAGCCATATGATCTAACCTCTGGGTAGTTGGATTATGTGTTACTTTTATCATTATATATTTCTTTGCCTTTCCTATAAGTACATTACTTTTAAAACTGGAAATACATAAAAGGATTTTGGCAATTACTTTTCCTTCTTTTTGCTTACCCTGAGACTTCATGTCTCAGCTAAAAGCATGTTTTCATAGGCAACAGCAAAGTAAATACTTTAATGATATTTCAGGATAAGGGAACATCACAGGGCAACAATGGGTGATTCAGTCAGTTAAGCATCTAACTCTTGGTGTCATGGTCTCACGGTTCATGAGCTCAAGCCCAGCATTGGGCTCTGTGCTGATAGCACAGCACAGAGCCTGCTTGGGATTCTGTGTCTCCTCTCTCTCTGCCTCTCCCCCACACACATGTGTATGTGCATGTGCGCACTCTTTCAAAAGAAACTTTAAAAAAAAAGAAAGAAAGAAAAAAGAAAAGGGGAACATCATACCTGAAAACTGTGCTCGTAGCAGACACTCTGTTTCTTCAGAAAGTAGTTTCTCTTCGACAAGTGCATCAATTAGTCGTAAGCCCTTTCTCTTCTTGATCATCCTGTAGTTTTTCACAGAAACCAGTCTTTTTTTGGACACTTGTAGCATCTGTTGCACCTCAGCCAGTTTCTCTGCACCAATTGTCAGAGGTCTCTTTAAACTGTAGTTGTGGTCCTCAGTAGCAACCTCTTGAGAATTATCAGGAAGTGGCTGTTTTAGGATTTTCTGTTTTGCTTTACCTTTAAGGTGTACACCTTGAAGAACCTACAACAGAAATATAAAATTAAGGTTATTTTTGAAATGATCACACAGAAGGCGGTCTATAAAAATACCACTAAATCAAAGGACTCACCTTTAATGTGGAGAGTTGTTTTAAAAAAAGGTCATAATCTCTAATTTCTTCAAATGTATTTATAGGAAAATGTGAACAGGGTTTAAAGTTTTTTGGGGTTTTTTTTCATCCATATAGAAATAGTAACCTGATGTCGAAAGTTAACATGATGTTGAAAGTTTCTGATATGTTTTAAGTAACAACAGAAAGGTGGTAATTTGGGAAGGCTTCGTGGAAATGAGTTTTGAGCAGTGTTTTAAGACAGCAATGACATGATTTAATGGAGGGGACAGGAAAATTATTTGTGCAAAAAGGAAGGCATAGTGGACAGAGCATGGGCTTTGGAATTGAGACTAATCTGGGTTTAATCATGGCTCCCTCATTTATTAGCTGTCACTAAACCTCTACAATCCCTCCTCTCCTCATTTGTATAACTGTAATAATACAGAGTTGTTTTAAGGATACAATAGAATAATTTATGTAAATCTCCCAGCACAATGCCTAGACCACTGCAGGTCTCAATAAATAGTAACTATTATTGATTTTACAAAAGCATGAAAGTTAGTCAATTTATCACATATACAGAAGTTAGTAAATGTGGTTTGAAAAGAGAATTTGGAGCAGTTAGAAATGCACAATTAAAAGGAAGCTCTTAGAGCTTAGGAGTTTGGATTTGACACCAATGACATTCTTCTGAATACAGGAATGAGAGTAAACAATATCAAAAGGAAATTCCAATGGATAAGAGGAGGCAAGGATAGCATCAGCAGAGAACAGCTAGAGGACTACTGCAGACTGTGCAGCGAGGAGCGCGTACAGCAATGTGGCCAAAGGGTAAAAGGATAACATAAAAAAAGAAAGCTAAGAATGTAACACTAATCCTGGTGACTGATTCATAGAAAGCCCTCTATTTTCCATAGATACCTCTCTATATCAATGCTAACAATTAGGTATATTTTTGGTCAAGATCAACATTACTGGGAGGGGCCCGAAAAAGGCATAATTTCTAAGTATTATGGAAACTGTGTCAAACAAAAGCCTGAATTCTAAGGCATCTACTAGTTAATTTTTGTGATCAATTTAGTAATCTTTATGTGGGTCTAGAAAATGATTTGCATTTATATACCTTAAAAACTTCAAAGCAGAATTACTAATATTACATATAGATTAAAAACCAAAAACCAAAAACCTAGTTTTCTACACATTTAAAATCTATTAATGGATTTATTTTAAGATTTAGGATTTTTTTTTAAATCTTTGTAAATTCTAGCTATAATGTGAGGTATCTTGGTTTTTAAAGGCTCTGTAGAATTTAGTTTTGTTTACACCTAGATTTAAGTACCTTGTATAGAGAAACAGAAGGCACAGCTCCTTTTTTCAGCTTTCTTCTTATGCCATATGACTCAAAGTCACTTTCTTGAAAATGTTTGGAACATAGTATAGCACCTGGTCCTGGGATCCAAATCTTTTTGCTTCTGGGGTCCACACGATTAACAGCCCTGATCCATTTTGAGCGCTGTATGGTATCAGTTGGAAATCTACAGCAATCATATTAAAGTTCCATTAACATGAAAATATGGTAATACTACAGTATTGATTACATAAACCCATTTATTATTTAACTGCTTCGTATAAACATCAAGTCCAATTAAACTTACTTAATCTGATTTCCAAGTTCTTTGATTTTTTGAATCCAAGAGTTCAGTATCTAAGTGAGCTCATTTGCTTTAATTTCTGAGGGTAATTCTCATATTAAATATCCTACATTTTGTCTTCACTGACTACATTAACGGAATCTGCTCAAATTTAGTATGTGTGTTTTTAAACTATGTCCCCAAATTCTTTACTTCTATTCCTTTCAAGGGGTGGAGCCTAATTTCCTTCCCCTGGAGTGTGGGCTAGGGTTAGTGATTTGCTTCTAAGAAATACAAAAAAAAAAAAAAAAAAAAGGAGAAGAGACAACGGTCAATAAGACTAAGTAATAAAAGGTACTTGCTCCCTCTATTCAATGGTTTTTCTCTGGGAAAATTTCTCTGCCATGTGAGAAGCAGTCCTGCAGAAATATGTCCACTGGGCAAGAAACAGGCTTCCCCGCTAAAGGCCACATGAGTCTTTCTGAAACTGCACCCTTCAGCCTCATCAAGTGTTCAGAACATTCTAGTGTTGGCTAACATTTTACTACTACCTTATGAGACAGCCTGTAACACCCAGTTAATTCACTCCCGGATTCCTACCCTCAGAAATTTGTGAGATCATGTTTCTACTGCATTTTGAAGAAATTTGTTACTCAGCAGTAGAAAACAAGTAAGTACATTTCCCACACTCAATTTTCCTCTTTTGTTTTGAAAGGCACCACTTTTTCCTAGCCTTGAATACAAAAATTACCTCGTGTTTCTCTCTTTTTAATCCTAGCCAAATTACTATGTTTAGAAATTTGTTGGGGGGGATCACAAAACTACTCTTTCTGCACCCTCTCCCTTGATTTACCTTGGAGACAGATCTACAGGCAGCTGTGTGAATTTTGTATATTTTAACTTGGGTTTTAAAGCATATGGTTGTTAGGAATTGAAACTAGTGAAAATTTTAATGTCCTCAGCTCATTGTTGGGGAAATATAGCAGAATGGTAAAACATACTTCTGAGATATTCTCTCAATCACCTTGAGAAAGAATACTGAATTGGAAAATCTGTACTTAACCTTCAATTACCTTTAATAGACACGTCTCAATCTCTCAGCTGCCTCACAGGGTTGTAGTTAAGAGTGCACAAGGTGACAAATGCATTCAAAAGCACTTTGTAAATGGTAAAGTGCTACCCAGAGTTTGTTCTTTCCTAGGAACAATTCCACTTTCAAGACTTTCATTTTATTGTTCCAGGAAGATGATGCCACTTGATCAAGAGGAAACTGTTTTTCTAATAAAGGTGAGGCAAATCTATGTCTTTTTACTGAATTCTTTTAACTAATGGCACGTTTGTGAGGCAGCTTTTCCACAGATGGGGCGTAGTCTCTAACCATGCAAAGGACAGTAAAAAGTTGGCCAGTCCACCAAGTTGCATTACTAGCCTGATCCTCTGATGCGGTTTCCCAACTGGCATGCCTGCTCACTACAGCCATCAATCCCCTTATCTCATGGAATGGCCTGGGCCACTTGGAGCCCTTGAAGTAGGTATTACAGGCCAGTCCCAAACAGCTTTGTCGGTTTGCCCTAAGTATTAAATATTTCCTATGCATAACACACCATGAAAGGCTTGAAAAATATTGTAGTCTAACAAGCATGACTAATTTGAATTCTGTACAAAATTAAATTGGTAATAATAATTGATACTACTTTTAAAGCATTTACCTTGTGCTATTTTTACGTGTGTGGGTGTGCATACGTTTTAAAGTTTAAGTAATCTCTACACCCAACATGGGGCTCAAACTCATGACTCTGAGATCAAGAGCCACATGCTTTTCCTACTGAGCCAGCCAGGCGCCCCAGTGCTTATGTATGTTTTTAAAACTGTTTTAGTCTTTAAAAAATTCTGCACGAACAGGTTACCTTTTACTGAAGATGAAACCAAGACCAGAACTAAGTATAGCCACCAGTAAATAGTAGTTGAAATTGGAATTCATGTTCCCCTATTCTAAAATCACCTGTGGCAAAAGAAAAATCCCAAACCAATCATCATTTCATATACACAATAATGAATTGGTTTACACTAATGCAGAATCTGTTTTCTCTCCTGTTAACTATGCCTTTTTTACACTATTGGCAGAAATTACCTTGGGCTCTCTGCATATCATATTTTCTAAAAAAGTGGCTAGGAAAATCCTTTCTACAGTGGTCATCTCTGGGGAGACAGAGAAAGGATTGAGGGGTAAAGCTTTATACCTGGTAACTTAATTCTCTTCTAACAGAAAAGAAAAAAAAAATGAAACAAGGCAAAATGTTAACATCTGCTTAATTCTAGTGATGGGTATATCAGTGTTTGTTATGTATTACTCTTTGCCTGCTAATGTGTTTGAAATGTTTCATAGCTAAATGTTTGAAATGTTTCATAGCTAAATGTTTCATAGCTAAAAAAGTATAAAAAAAGTATAAAAATATATAAAAATAGCAAAAACTCTTCCAAGTTATCATACATATATTTGATTATGAAATAAATTGTTTAATTTCTTTACACCAATAAAAGGAGAATGAATCAAACTGTCACTTCTTTAAACTTGCCAGTCCCATCTCATATTTAACCATTTATGTGTTTCACCAAGTATCAGTATTCTTATAACAACAGTTTCCACACCTTTAATCATTTTGATTCATGCTTTTCAGCCAAAGCCCCTCGCCTGTGTCCTTGCAACATCCTTCACAATTCTGGTAATGGTGGTGAGGATGTTGGGGAAGGCTTCAGAAGACAGAATATTGGAGCTAGAGCTGATGTATCAACAGGAGTTTGCCATGCAGACAGTGGCCACTCCGAGCAAATGCATAAACACAGATATAAAATAACTACTAGGATCTTACTGGTTGATAAAGCATTGAAAAATAAGTTAATTTGTAGACTGGAGAGGGTTAAAGAAGAGTACAGAGGTAGCTTGAACTGGTTATGGATGGGCTGGAGGGGTGGCTAAAGGCCAGATCACAAAAGATCGTGTGTGCTAGGAAGTTTGGGATCCATCCTTTAGGTCAGTGGCTACCAGAGGAGTGTGCACTCATCTACTGAGATTTGAAGAAAACATTAGAATTTATTTTTATAATGTTTTGCCCCATCGCTTAATTTTTGTGTTTCATAATACATATTAGTTCATCACTTCGTGTATGTAATTTATAAATCAGTACACATTTATCAGGGCATGTACTCAAATTTCTTTGTGGAGAGGGCTCCATGTTCAAGAAGTCTGAAGATGACGCCTTTGGGCGATGGCAAGTTGACAAATTCTTTCCAATCTATATTACCTTTTTGCTGAACCCTTACTTCTGATCAATATAACTTTGTTGCTACGATTAACACCATAGTATTCTAACTCCTTTTCCTGTCTCTACCTTCTTCTGCATTCCTTACAACTTCCTAGGCATAGGAAGATAAAGATTATTCCCTCCCATTCATACATAAGGGCATGTGTTTAATTTAGCACACATAAAAAATAACAGAAATACAGAGGAAATTAAATCCAGGTTGGAAGACAGGTATTGGAGAAAAGTCTTCACAGAGGAGTTTGGATTCTGCCTTTAGGCATTTGAAAAGCCCCAGGATTAAAATCCTTTTTTAAGGGAACTAGTATAAAATTTGCATTTTTAGAAAAATCATTTCCAGAAATCAGGAAAATGGAATGAATGGGAAGAAATCAGCCTGGACGAACCATAGTATACTACTGTAATAACTGCATCACTTTCTCTTCTTAAAATTAAGTAGGTCTTACTTTGGTCCTCAATATATAAAACAAATAAAAGCAATAAATGAATTCTTCCTCGCTTGAAGAATCTTAAGGCGGCACAGGAAAAGCAGGGCAGCAAAAAATTAAAAAAAAAAAAAATTAGAGGAAAAGGAGAAAACTCTGGACAGAGTGTGTCAATAAAGCCAATGAAGATGAGAGTTTCACGGAGCAGTCGATATAATTAAAAGTTAAAAAAAAAAAGGTTAAGAGAAGGACTTAGAAGTGCTCACTTAGATTTGGCAACATTACTGGTGACCCTTTGTCAGTGTATTAGAGCAGTAGTGATCTGGCTACCATAGGTTGAAAAGTCAACAGGACTTAGGAAAATAGGTGTATGTTCCTGTTTACAGGAGCCTTGTTATAGAGGGAAAGCGTGATAGGGTAGTGCAGAGGTGTACATAGACTCAAGAGTTTGTGTGTCTGTTTAAAAATGGAAGTAATGTGAGCATGCTCATCGACTTTAGGCAAGTAATCAGAAGAGGGAGCAATTTAAAACGAACAGGAACTAATTGATGGGGGAAAATCCCAGAGAAGAAAGGTTACAAGATACAATTCTAACAGCTTAGGTGGAGGAACCAGCCCTATTTAAAAAACAACACAAAACAATGACTACAAAAGGCCTACCATACAGAGTTGAAACTCCTTAACCTGACATTTTTTTTCAATGTCTTCAAGATACTTTTTCCACTCCTCTGATATCTGCACTCTCCACCCCTTTACATTTTTCCATGTTATTCGTATTTAAGCGCTATCTTCCTTCCACCCCCACTCTACAACCTAAGTTCAAGGTCCAACTCAAATACCACCTGTCCCGTAAAACGACTTTTGATTTTCTCATAAAAGTCCTTTGTCAGTGGTTTAACTCTCTACATCTATTACCTTAACAGACTACCTCTTTTTTGAAGTACGTTTCTTTTTGTCTTTGAGAATCTTGCTTTACCCACTCTTCTACTTCGCATTGTGCCTTGAACTTTGAATCAACTGTATGTCATGGATGGACTATAGTCGTGGGTTCGAATTAGACTGGTCTGAAAACCCACCCAACTCTTGAGCCAATGTACCTTCCTTGCCATGACCAGATCCAGCCAGAATAGGACCGGCCTTGTGGAGCTCAGCCAATTCTACTAAATAACTTGCAGTAACAGGCAGTATTCGTGAAAATCCACCTGTACTCCTGTTCCTGGGTAAGCCACACAACTCTAATGGAATCGAACGCCTTCAACAGTTCTCCCAAACTGTCCACCCTTCCCATCTCCTCACGTCAAATAGTAAGACGACCGAAAAGAAGCAGGACTCCTTTCGAAAAACCCTTGCTAAACGCCATTAGGCAAGCGGTAGGCAACGAGAAAGAATCAGCAATTTGAAGGTACACGCTAAGCCGCAAAGACAGGAAAAACACCAATTCTCAAAGGTCCCTCGTTCCTTTCCCCCACGCTACGCACGTCACGCCACGTCACGTCAACGGCGCAACGCAAGCCCGGCCCCGCCCCACCCTGGCCTACTGCCCGCCAGGCCGTGCTGGGGGTTAGACAGCCGAAGGGTGCTCTCACGCACTGGTGGAAGGAGAGGCCGCGCTCCCGGCTCAGCACGGTGTCCCGGGTGCTGCAGCCAACTGCCGAGCAACTTCGGGTCATCTTCTTGCTACGTGGGGCTCCACTTTGGGTGGTCCTACGACAGCATTAATCGTGATAAATTTAGCTCCGCCCGTGGATTCGGCGGCTACGACCTTTATTTGTCGGAAAAGGCGGGCTCTTAAGGTGCAAGACTCCTACTCTTCCTCTTCGTGGGCGCTGCGCTTGACGCCGTGACCAATCACAGGCCACGTCGCGTCGCTGCAGCCAATCGGAAGAGCCTAGAACATTAAGACGAGCATTTGACGGCTCCTCCTCTCTGTTCCAGGGTGCTTAGTGGATTTAGTTGTTTATGGTCTAGTTTTGCTACTGTTTCAACACGCTCCGGTTACATCCGGTGCCATCGTGGTTCTTGTGAGGCAAGGCCTGAGAATGCGAAGCGGGGAGGTAGGAGTAATATTGAGGTGAAACTAGGGGCATGCCGTTAGGTGTCCGGTACGAACTCTTAAAGGGACTGGATATGGTGCAGGAAGAGATGGGAGGGAGAGCGATAAACGCGATACCCTAGAAATGTTAAAGACAGAATTGGGCCCCCAAATAAATTATCTACTGAAAGGCATATAATTTCCTTGCATTTTATTTGGTAGTTCCCTGATGTGGTGATATTATAGGAGCTGTTGGGATGGTTGGCCTTAGATATGTGACCCCGGAGGAGCATGAATAAGAGTGTTAATACGGGGATACGTCGTTTTTTAATTCAACGAACCTTTTCTACAAGACCGTTTGTCACTGTGGGCAATTAAGGAAACAAGGTAAGATCCTTGGGGCACCACATGTCTAGTGGGGAATCGTCAATATAATTAGTTAAGAGGGTCAGGACAGAAAGCGCAATGAAATGATTTGGGTTGGGATGTGGCGCATTGTAGATAGTTTTCAAGAAGTGAGAAGGTCTTCAAAAGATGTCTTTGTTAAGCTCTATATGTTTACGGTATGAGATTTCAATTGTCATGGAAGAAACAAAATGGGGCCAAAATAGGGCATAATTTCTGTCTTTGGAGAGACACTTAGCATATTAAGTGGCTTCTTTCTCTCCTGCTTACATTGGAGGCCCATTAAGGAAACCAGAAAATTTTGTACTTTTCATTAAGTTTTTTCATTTCCTTCTCCTGTAGGCGAGGGTGATTCCAACATTTCCAAGCCAGATTGCGTCTTTTTCCCCTTGTTGTTTTCTTAGTCCAGATTCCAGCCAAAAGGTACTACTTATTGACATCTGCTTTCCATTATAATATGCTTGTATCTTGTTTGAACGAGATTAACAGAGCTTTTGTTTATGTCCCTTTCTTAAAAGTCATGTGGCCTGAGGATAGTCCATGACTTTGGGGAAAATTGAACCATGGGCTGTGTGCTTGCTTGGATGTTAGACGTGCAAAGGGTAGGATCTGGATTAAAATTATCTTCAGTCTGTTAGGCTATTAGAAACTTTCTTAGTACTCAATCAGTTAAGACCCAAATGAGGCTAAGTAGAAATACATAACAGTTTTATCTTTAAGGAAAAAATTGGTTGCCTTGTTTTTTTGGTAACAGTTTTGTTGAGATATAACTCCTACACCATACAGTTAGCCCATATAAAGTGTGCATTAAGTTTTAGTATATTCAAGAGTTGTGCAGTCATCACCATGATCAATTTGAGGACATTTTCATCACCACCCCCCCCCCAAAAAAAAAAACACATTCTCATTAACAGTCACTCCCTATATCTTCCCTATCCTCTGTTCTTGGAAACCACTATTTTTTTTGTCTATGTAGATTTGCCTATACAATTTCATATAAATGGAATCAAAAACTAATATATGGCCTTTTGCAAGCAGCTTCTTTCATTTAGATATTTACTTATTTATTTTGAAAGAGAGATTTAGAGCATAAACAGAGGAGAGGTAGAGGGAGGGGAAGAGAGAAAGAATCCCAAGCACATTCCACACTGTCAGCACAGAGCCCAGTGCGGGGAACCCACGAGCTGTGAGATCATGACCAGACCCAAAATCAAGACATTTCTGAGTTACCCAGGCACCCTGAGTACTTCCATTTTTTTTTTTTTAATTGTCAAAAGATGTTCCATTGTATGTATATACTGCTATGATGATTTTATTTAACCATTTATCAGTTGACCATTTGGGTTGTTTCCATTGTGGGGGATTATTATGAATAATTCTGCTGTGAAAATTAGTGTACAAGTTTGTGTATGGACATATGTTTTCATTTCTTTTGAGTATATACCTCAAGGTGGAATTGCTGGGTCATATGCTAAGTGTTATGTTTAACCTCAAGGAAATACCAAACTGTTTTTCCAAAGTGGCTGGACCATTTTACATTCCCATTAGCAGTGGATGAGGGTCCCATTTTCTCCACGTTCTTGGGTGAAGTGGTATTTCATTGTGGTGGTTGCCTGATTTTTAAGGACTCCAGGTTTGCAGGGAACCTGCTAGAGGATGCTCCTTGCATGTAGAGACCAATGTGTAAGGTGAATTTGTCTTTTCAGTCTCTACCACACAAATAGATACATGTGTTTCAGCTGTAATGTACATGTCCCTGAAAAATACCTCATGTTCAGCAAAATTATGCATGTGAAAGTAGTGCTTGTAGGAAAAAGAAAAAGCATTGAGTACTCAAAATCTGTGCAATTGGATAAGCTCTAAAATAGTAATCAGTACCTGGAAAGTACTCCTGTGCCCTCCTCTCACCCCTTAAGGGTAACTTAAATGGACACTACCATAGGGTATATTAAAAGAGCAAGCCTGGTGGGTGCTAGACATTACAGATAGGAAGTGGAGCTCTAAGCTCATAAGCTGCTAAATGGTATAGAGGGCAGGTGGGAGTAGCTGGGGAGGGAAGCCCCAGGTGCAGGCTCTCATTTTTCATTTTCTTTTTTTTGTTGTTATGTTTATCTTTGAGAGAGAGGGACAGAGCATGAGTGGGGGAGGGACAGATGGAGGGGGACACACAGAATCCGAAGCAGGCTCCAGGCTCTGAGCTGTCAGCAGAGCCTTTCGCAGGGCTTGAATGCACGGACAGCGAGATCATGACCTGAGCGGAAGTCAGACACTTAACCAACTGAGCCACCCAGGTGCCCCAATCTCATTTTTCATTTTCTTAAGTTAGAGTTGAAAGTACCCCTGCTGCCAGTTCAGCATCAGAGTTCAGAGGGAAGGGTTTTTTATTTTAATTTTCTTCTAAGTGGATTCCAGATATTGTGGCTGCCCAAGGATAGATGAAACCGTGGCTCTCACATTATTCTGAAAGCCTTCTTGTAATTATTAATTACAAATGAGTTACTGAAAACTGGTATGCTGCAAAACAGATGTACTTAAATGTAAACTGGTTAAATGAAAACTCACTTTATGGAAGCCACAAGGGGTCTAGGTTTTCTTAATGTACTCCTGGATAGGGAAATAGGTAATTCCTCATAAAAGCATACTTTTTTTTTTTAGTTGTAGTTATGTATCTTTATGTTCGTTTATAACTTGTGCATTTTTGTTGCTGTTTTTTACTGTTTTACTAGTGACATTGAGGTTCTCAATTTAATCATTTGATTATCTTTGCTTCTTCCAATAACTTCATATCCAGTGATTAAACCTTTTCACTGCTGTTCACATAATGAACCGTTGTGATTATTGAATACGTTAATGAGGATATGTAAACTGTATTAAAGATATTGGGAAAATGCATGGACTGTAGTGCATTGTAATATAAAAGAAAATATCTCTTTTTAGGAATTACATTCTTGGAGATGTTGGAAAAAGATTCCTGGGACTTCAAAGATAATCACTCCAAATATACAGGGGAGGTAGTATATCTTTCTTTAAATGTATTAAGTGTTCCCAGAACAATAGTAGTGAGTTGGAAATGGCGGATTATCTAAGTAAAGATTTACAAAGACTTTGGTGAAATCTAATTTCCTGTTACAGAATTTTGTTAATTTGGTCACTTGGAGAAAAAATAACAACTAATGCTTCTTGAACGACTACGTGCCAGGCATTGTGCTAAGCATTGTATAGACACACAAGTTTGTTTTATAAACAAATGTATTTCTCACAACAACCCTAGGAAAGCAAATAGACTTTTTGCCTTCTAGGACTGGTATCTTCCTTGTTGAACACCTACTCTTTTGTCAGATTCTTATTTCTACTAGAACCTTTATTTATTGTCCTGTTGTATTAAAATGTATTTCTGGTAACTGACTTACATTCTTGCTGAATTTTTCACCATTTCATTTCAGAAAGCCTTTAGGTTTTGAAATTATTGGTGACCAACTTAAAAACTGTTCCCGAATCTGACCCTTTCCTAAAACTTCAGACCTTTCCAGCTAATTCATAAGTTGTACATTTTGCTTTTTGAATATGGATTGTGACTCTCTGTACGAATTATTTATTGCTATGTAAAAGTTATTCAAAACTTAGTAGTTTACAATAACACTTATCTTACAGTGGGAGGAGGGCAAAGCAGAGAGACATCATCTTCTGGGCTCTCACTTGGCAAGCCTTGGTTTCTTGATGGCTGTTGGCTGAAGACTTAAGTGCTTCACCATGAGAACCTCTCCATAGGCTGCCTGAGAACTCTCACAACATGACAACTATCTTTCCCCAGAGGGAATGATCCAAGAGAGAAATGCCAAGTTAACATGTAAGTCGACACATATGAGGGTGTGAATACCAAGAGGTGGGAGATCATTGGGGACCATCTTGGAGGTTGACTATCACCCTTTACTCTTTTTTTGTTTTTTTTTTTTTTAAACTGCTTCAATTTATTGAATCAAGAGATTTAACATTAGACCCTCTGGTCAGATAATGAGAAGTATGAGAGCATATGTATTCAAATAAGTGCTCTCTTTTCTAAGATGCACGGTTTCTTGCCCATGAATATATCAATTCCATAAGTGATGCCACTCCTATTGGAAATTTTCTAGAGAATATATAAGAAAGCTTATTTTATAGATAGAGAATATTGGACTTTGATCATATATGTTTTTTTTTCTTGGACCCATTTCTCCTCTCCCAACTCCTCCTTAGGTGCAGGTGGTTAGAGAAGCTGGAAGTAGACTATAGATAGAAATTGAGTACCCCTATCCCTGGTATTTTGCTTGGGGTGCAGACTGACTTGGAATGGTTGAAATTTCTGTTTAGAGTTTTCTAAGGAATGCAATCCAATTACTTAAGGCACTTATACATATATTTGACATAGGATGGAATAAAGGTATAAATACACAGCAGCAGCTTTAGAGCGATTTGTCCTTTTCCTCAAAAGCTTGATATTTATCCAGTTTGGTGAGTATATTTCCTTTTCTTTCTGTTGCTCCCCCCTCCCACCACGGTCTTTTATCTCTCTTGATGTGCAAAATACAGACTTTGCCAAGCCCCTAATTGAGGCATTCTGAGCAGAATGCCCCTAATTGGTAGAATTCTAATTTGTGCCTGAGATTTGTAATCTTTTGAGTCTTCTTTTCCCTTAATTGCTGCTTAAAAGTTCTTTGTTAGCAGTGACAACTCTTTTCCTTTAAAGCTTAAGTGCTTCTGGTTATTTTGGAGACCTTGTGTAATAACAAAAAGCATTACGTAAAAAACAAGATACAACCAGTTTTGGGATGTGTTTGTATTAGGTATGGTTACCCTTTCCATGTCAAGCTTAATATTAAGACATTTCTAAGTTAGCATAAGGTAATCTGTGCAAAGTAGTTAAATGATACACTTGAGATTATCTTTGGTATGATTTTTCCAATGGGAAGTAAAATTGGAGGTGTTACCGGTTCATGAAAATCAAAATTTATAGAAATGTGTATATATTATGTGTTCTTTAAAAAGGGCTAAACAATGAAAAACTTATGACTAAAGCTCAAGTTGAAAATAGGAAGAAAATATAAATGTCCAATGATTAAACTTTTTCCACTGCTGTTCACATCATGATCTGTTGTGATTAATGTATGTGGATGAGGACATAATGGAAAAAGAAAATCCTAGTGGGAGAAAAACATTATAGATATGATGTAATTTTTTTGTATATTGATTTACTTGTAAATGTGTTCCTGTTTTAGGAATGAAATTGAAGGGTGTTTTTGTCAGATTTATCTGATAAAGAATTTGAACATTTATATAGTAAGGTAAGTAGTTTATAAATTTGCTAGTTTTGACAAAAGAACGGACAATCAGATTTGAGCAAAAAATTGATATTTGAGCATAATGTGGACATTGTACTCAATTAAATTTTTTTCCTTATTTTTTCATTTTTCAAAGATAACAAGAATATGATTTCAAAGATAATTTTCTTTTTTTTTTTTTTTAATTTTTTTTTTTTCAACGTTTATTTATTTTTGGGACAGAGAGAGACAGAGCATGAACGGGGGAGGGGCAGAGAGAGGGAGACACAGAATCGGAAACAGGCTCCAGGCTCTGAGCCATCAGCCCAGAGCCTGACGCGGGGCTCGAACTCACGGACCGCGAGATCGTGACCTGGCTGAAGCCGGAGGCTTAACCGACCGCGCCACCCAGGCGCCCCGATAATTTTCTGAATCAATAGATTTGATGCAGGATAGGCAATTGGGTGGCTGAGGTCAGGACTTTTAACCTTGATGATTATCTTTTCTCAAAAATAATGGTGTCATTCAGCCTCTGAGATTCTTAGAGATCATATATTCCAGGGTTTAAATTTGCTGAACTTTTGTATGTCCTATAAATGACTCTTTGATATGCCACTGAATGACCATCCTATAACTTAATCTTTATTCAAGAACAGTAGATAAGTAGGTGGTTAGAAGCTGGGAATCTCAAATTTAATACCAGATTAATCTGTTACTAATTAGGCATGTTGTCTTGGGGTGTTTCAAATTTGAGGAATATAAAGAGGAAAAATTCTTGCAAATACTCAGTATTGATTTAAGTTTATTTTCTATTTCATAAATTTCTACAAACATAAAAGTTGATATAAATTTTGTTGACGGGCCTTAATCAAAAGATTTACAAAATAAGTGCATTCAAAGACAAAACTAAAACATTAATGGGATGGATGCTACTGTTCCACAGGAGAAAACATGGTACTGGCTGGTGTGGAATAAGTTGTAAATACATACAGTCTTGTGCTTTGTGATGATTATAAAGCTTTACAATCAGGACAACAGTAGAGTTGTCCAGAACTTTATTCTTTTGCAGACCTCAAAATTGTTGAAATGAGGGAAGGGGCCTAAGTTCTCAAAAGGATGTCTTTGGACTGTCTGCAAATGCTAATTTGAAGAATTCTGTATTACATTGTCTCCAAACATTTTTCCATCTCCAGTGGGAATTCACTCTGGAACTAACATTCCTTTGAGAAAATCTTCAGTTTCTATTTTGATCTATGGTTAAGTTTGTCTAGTAGTTAACTAAATTGGATTAAAAGTTGATTATTTTGTGAACTAATACAAGTTTTTCTTTTTAGATACAGGTGGTCCTTACTTTGCACCGTTCCATTATACATGAAGATCAGTTTTCACAGTTTAGTTAAATAACACTAATCCTCCTACAACACAGTTGTAATTTCAGTTACAATAGTAACTGAATCGTTGCATAAGTTTTGTTGCTAGCTCTTTATTCCACAACTGATTATGCATTATAAAAGATGTGCATCATGGTCAGTAACCAGTTACATCACATCTTTCAAAGTCTCTTGGTGATTGATCACTAAACATCTATTAGTTCACGGAGTAAAGCATGTAGTTGTATTGCTTACTTGTTTCCCAGTAATAAACCCATGCAACATTGTACAAAACTGGATAATCAGAAGAGGGAATTGGCAGGGCAGCAAAGAAACAAGTGATTTTTAACACTGGAAGTGAAATTGGATTTGAAAATGGCGACAGCATATTGAAGACGAGATGAGACCCAGGCCTACATAAAGCTGCAGTAGAAACTGTGGTTTAAAAGTTCGAGGAATATAAAAAGCAAAGTAAAGTTGCTTCAACATTTTTTAGTTTAAATTACACTAGGAACAGAAAGCCACTTACAGTTGAAATGGAGTGCTTGCTTCTACTTTGGATGGAGGACTGTAATAAAAAATCCTAATCAGTTTGGCTAGCATTCAGGCCAGAGTGTTGAGGTTAGTTGCTGCGCTGAAGGAAAATGGTAATTACCAGGAGACTGAAAAAGAACATTTTTTTGTTGGGAAAGGCTGGTTTCATCGTTCAGAAGTCTGGAGCGCCTGCGTGGCTCAGTCGGTTAAGGTTAAGCATCGTTTGGAGGTTGGCGTGAATGGAATAATGTTCCACTGGTGAAGCTGCATGTTCAGATAAGGATGCTACTGGGAAATTTGCACCCATGTTCCAAGAATCACAGGCAGTCCTTGCTTTGCACAGTGGTATGAGACTACTGTGCAAAAACTTGATAGGATTTGGCTGGAATGTAAATGGAGTTCCAGAAGGTATGACTGTGGGAATGTTTACACTGCTGCCATTCAGGAAATAGTTCTGGATATACAGCCAGAAGGTGCTGCTTCAGCAGCACATACACTAAAAGTGGATATACAGCCAGAAGAATTTAGTGAAGGTGAACATAGTTATAAATGAGGAAAGCAGTTGTGTGTTGTGAAGGATGAATACATTTGGAGGAAGTGATTCAGGTGAAAAGCCACATTAAAGGAACTCTCAGATGTTTCATGACACTGTGCAAAGCATTAAACGTTAGAAACAGATCAAACTCAGAAAAGAGGATGACAATTTGCCAAGGCATAGGAAAGATGGCTTGCTCCATATTGTAAGTTATATGTGAAAGCAAGCCCTGTTCAAACTACTCAAGACTTGTTTATAAAGAAATAAAACATTCTAATTTTCAATGTTTCTAATGTTTTGAATATTTTATTTTTTATATTTCAACCAAAATCAGTTTCTAATGTTTGGACAAATTTTAAGGTTATAGAACAAATCAGATTGTTCTTTGAGAGGTTTCAGCTTTCATAGTCCAACTGAGAACTCCCTGCATTTAAAACAAACTAGGAACTCTTTATATTTAACCAGATATATCAAGTCTAGAAACAAATACACTTTTCCCTTAGATTACCAGTTATATTATGACAGTTTTCATACTGTCTTTGTATGCATGCTACTATAACAAGGCTTTGAAATAAAAATTTATACACAACTGTATGTCTCATACTTCGACTTGTAGGCAAATCCTAATAGATGGGGATTGGCAAACTTCTTTTATAAATACAGCCATACAGTGAACAGGCTTTGCAGACTCTTTAATGGTCTCTAGCAACTACTCAGTTTTGTCCATGTAGCACAAAAACAGCCATAGGCAATACAGAGACCATTGAAAGTGGATGTGTTCCAGTCATGAAATACTGTTCATACCTCACGGTCTACAAAAGGGGGTGGTGGGAAGCAGGGAAGTTTGTAGTTTGACTTCTGCAATAGGAACATATAGTACATTAAATGATACCAAAGAATGTAACCACAGCTTGAATCATTTGAGTTTTTTGGTAAGTTGTTCTAATGAGCCCTTTCTCCATACTGATGTACATTTACAGGTAGTCGGGGGTCTTCTGGGGTTGGGGCAGTAGGGAGTTAAGTTTTCGGTTGATTCAAGTGATGGGCCCACTTCTAAGTTGGATTTTTCATTGGCATCTATAGGTAAACTAGTCCTTGCAGCTGTAAGTAAAAATGGATTTGTAGGACACTAGAAATTTGCTGCTGTAGCCTAAGTAATCCGTTTGGTCTATTTCTTTACTAGAGAAATAAACTTCCTTTTCAAATTGAACTGGAAGTATAAGACACTAAAAGGGTGTATGAAAGCATGCAGTGGGAGCGAAAAATGTGCCTACTCTGATACCTAGAAGTGAAGGCACTTCAGAAAAAACTTGAGGGGCACCTGGGTGGCTCAGTTGGTTGAGCGTCCGACTTTGGCTCAGGTGATGATCTCACGGTTCGTGGGTTCAAGCCCAGCATGAGGCTCTGTGTTGACCATTTGCTCAGAGCCTGGAGGCTGCTTTGGTTCTGTCTCTTCTCTCTGCCCCTCCCCCGCTCACGCTTTGTCTTACTCTGTTTCTCAAAAATAAATAAATGTAAAAAAGAAAATTTAAGAAAAAACTTGAGAGAGATGGTTGACTCTTCGGTGTTAATGGGAAGAGAACTGGCCTAGAAGTTAGGAGACCTGGGTTGAATCCAGGTTCTAGTTGTTTATAAGTGCTTTACCTCTGGTTTTACTTTGCTGTAAAACAATTCCTAAACTAAAAATGACATCCAGACAATACACTAATTCGAAGCCAGGGTCTGGCGAAGCCCAGTGACTAAGGGCAAACCCTAGTACATCTTAAATAGTTCCATATGATGCTAACTGAACTACTTGGCTCCACTATGCCTCTGGAGTAACAACACCGTCCACAACAGACCTCGGGTATAGTCAGATCACTTGGTTTTGAAGTCCTCAAAAGCAATACTGTAGAACAAACTTTTAACCAACCCAATCACAAATTAGTTTCTGCAATTAGGGCCGTGCCGTCCCATTTCCAAGTGATTTGTCCGGTGTTGGCAGTGTCGCGGAGGCTGCCGATGTCTCGCAGGACTAAATCTACGTGGCATTCTTGCAGGCCTCGGCCGTTCTTCGAACAGAAAGCTACACCCAGCACAGCAGGACCTGTTTTTTTTCTTTTCGCGTATGCCGGGTCACCGCATCCTCAATCTGTACGCCGCCCTTCAGTACGGGTCCCCCCAACCTCACAAGCGCGCGCCACCTACACGCTTTTCACGCCCGCCTGCCACCCCTCCCGGAAGTGCCGTGGAGGGGAGTGCGCCGAAGTGGGCGGGGCGAGGCGTCGCTCCCGGAAGCGTCCGCGGGCCGCCCGGGAGGGGCTGTGGCTGCCACGTTGAAGCGGAACGTGGAGGTGGCTTTGGGGCGGGAGGAGGGGCGGCGGCGAATGCTGGGAGAGTCCGACGGGCGTCGCGCTAACGCAGGAACGGGTCGCCGAGGGTCCCCACAAGGTGTGTCTGCCTATTCCTCCCTGTCTTCTTCGCCGGCCCTCGGGCCTTGAGGTGGAGCACAGGCGAAAGCTACGACCGTGGCATCGGCCTCCGCTGGTCCCCGTCAGCCTGCGGCCCGGTCTGTGGTGGCGGCGCGTCCCTGATCTTCGTTTCGGGCCCGTCTGGATAACGCCTGGCGTCACGGCTGCTGCGGGGATCGCGCCGATCCACATCCGCCAACGTTTCCACTGCTGAGCAGGAGCTCCCCTGAGGCTTGCGACAGGGTGTCGTGCCACGTCCGGTAACGGGGGTCTGAGGTCAGAGGACACTCACACCCTTGTGCACAAAGAGGTGCGGGCCCCAAGGGCGAGGGAAGGAAGCAAACCTCAGGATCACTTTGGTTCATTTTAGTTTGGTTATGATTTTTTTTGTTTGTATTTGAACTGTTGCCAGATTTAAAGGTTCATAGGTTTTTAACTGGAAGCTACTGTCATTGAACCAGGATTGGATTATTTTAAGGATAGTTACCAGTTGCCGTCTGTTCCTCGAAGGAAATGTCAAAAAGTGTTGTATGTTTTTGCTAATAAGTTATTATGATGAGAGATCAAGTTACAGGGCAGGTGAAAAATAAATCAAAATATTGCGTGGGCTTGTGGGCATTATGAACTTTTATGTGAGCATAAACAACTAATTTTATTTAGTCTTTCTGAAGTTGCAGTGATGGTCTGTGATAAATCCTTTCTCCAAAACTGCTTTTTAACTACAGAAAACTGAAATGTGATTGTGTTTGTCGCTAATTGTAACTGTATTCAATCAATAATCAGAGCCTTGCTCTTCTATCGTACCGTCCTACGTTTTCTGTACATACTGATTGTTCTGGGATTGGCTGAAGTTTACTCATCGTTTTTTAGTGGTTCTTCTGTGCTCTTTCTCTTGATTAAGTAGACCTGGGGAAGGTTTGTAGACTCTAAGAACTTTTGGATAACCTGAAGTGTTTTTGTAGTTGTGAATTAATGTTACACACATCCAAGGTTGTTTGGGAAATGTGACATTGGAATGGATTAAGAATTATATTGCCTAATTTTAGATACATAGGTTCTTTTTGAAACTAATAACGTAAGAAAAGAAAGAAATTTGTAACTGTAAAGAGCAGTGATTCTTAATTTTTTGGAATTACAGTCCCTTTTGAGGACCTGAGGAAAGCATTGGATCACCTTCCTAGAAAAATGCACTGCACAGGGGCTTATTGGTGGCTCAGTTGGTTGAGCGTCTATCTCAGCAGGTCTTGATCTCAGGGTGGTGAGTTCTAACCCTGTGTGGGGGTACTTAAAGAAGCCTACTTTAAAAAATACACACAGAATTTTGTATGTAATTTCATGAAGTTTAGAAATTCTTGTCAAGTGGTATTATTAAATTGATTTTTACAGTGTTTTTAGAAATATTCTTTAAAAATTTTTTTAATGTTTTATTTATTTATTTATTTATTAACGTTTTTTACTTTATTTTTGAGACAGAGAGAGACAGAGCATGAGCGGGGGAGGGGCAGAGAGAGAGGGAGACACAGAATCGGAAACAGGCTCCAGGCTCTGAGCCATCAGCCCAGAGCCCGACGCAGGGCTCGAACTCACGGATCGCGAGATCGTGACCTGAGCTGAAGTCGGACGCCCAACCGACTGCGCCACCCAGGCGCCCCATGTTTTATTTATTTTTGAGAGAGAGAGAGATAGACAGACCGACAGAGGACAAGCCGGGGAGGGGCAGGGAGAGAGAGAGGGAGACACAGAATCTGAAGCAGGCTCCAGGCTCCGAGCTGTCAGCACAGACCCCGATGTGGCGCTCGAACCCACACACGGTTAAGATCATGACCTGAGCTGAAGTCAGTCACTTAACCGACTGGATCACCCAGGCGCCCCAGAAATGTTGTCATTCTTCGGTTAATTTTAGTTCAAAATGTTTTATTTATTAGATTCTAGATAAGTATGACACCATTTAGTTCAGTGCACAGTTGGCACTTTGATGTGATTTTGGTTGAGTGAAATGAGCCTTAGAACATCGATAACAATAAATCCTCTAGAACAAATTTGTCCATCCATGGTGAGATATTTGCCCACACAAGATGGATTTTTAATAAGGCAGTCCCAACTAGAGATTGTATTCCTGGTTTGAGAGTCAGAATTTCCATTTCCATAAACTCTTCTACTTTTTACTTTCTGAAGAATGGGTCATCTCTGTATGGAGCATTGTAAGATTGGTATGTTTGAGAAAATAGTACTGTTGGAATTTAGTATTGCTTTACAAAATTAGCAACTAGAAAATGAGCAGAAAGAAAAAAGCTTCCACTAAATTGCATGCATTTAACTACGTGCATGTTGTAGGGAGAAACTTGGACAAAAAAATAAGAGTTCTAGTGTGAAACATAAATTATTCTTCAGGTGTATTCTTTGGGATACGCATTTTAAATTGTGACTTTTGCAGTAGCTGACATTTACAGGCATGCATTTACTATGTGCCAGGCACTGTTCTAAGGCCTCTGTGTAATGCCTTATTTAATTCTTACAACAACCCTTCTTATACATACTTTTATTATACTTATTTTACCAAATGGGTAGCCAAGGCACACAACAGGTAAAGGTACATGCCTAAAGCCAGAGCCTAGGACATGATGGAGCTGGGATTTAAACTGAGGGTTTGGCTCTGGACTCCATACCCTAAACTGTTATGCTGTAGATATTGTCTTATAGATGTCATATGTGAACAAGCCACTGTCCTCACACTTTTCTTTTTGTATTATAAGAATGATTTTGTTCTGTGTAAAATAGTCTTGAATGAAATAAGTATGCATAGTGTGAATTCTTATCACATTTGATATTGAAAAAAAATTGCACAAAGCTTTTAAAGCAAGCCTTCACTTGGGAAGTACACTTGGTTTAATCTAAGCCTTTTTCAGATTTCTAAGAAAATTAGTTACAACTAAATGATCATTTCTAAGAAAAGGAAATATGCAAGTTGTATTTTCTTAGCAGTCTTAGTGTTTTAAGAATGATTGCAGTAGGTAGATTATGGTATTCTTATTTAATTAGATTCAGACCACATAAGGTAGTTCCAGGCTATTGTTGTAGTGATTGGGGGGGCCCCCCCCCCAAGTAGCTGGTATTGAAGCCTTGTGTTCAGTACAAG